ATTAGAGATAACGCGTTCGCTTGTGTATATTACGTAATCTTACACGTCTTACATATCTTATATGCAAAAGATTATACGTATTTTTAATCACGTGATTATAATAGTGAAAGTCAAGTAGTAAAAATTACGAATTTGCAGATCACGTATTATATATAGCCAGAAATTTCACTCTACATGCACCATGTACATATCTGGTAGGGACACTGTACGAGTGGCGCAAGGATGACGCAAGGGGATGCATTTCATGCGACCGAAAATAGGAAAAAAACTCTGCTCTGTTGGAATATGCTGTTATACAATATATACGTACAGTATATACAGTATATACTGTATTTTACGCTTTACTGATATCACATCCATAATCTTAACTTTAATCATCCAGGTGGACTCGTAAAAAAATTTTTTATCAAGACATTTATCAAAGTATTCAATAATCAAATTCAATTAATTGCATTCCTTTTTACTTAAAGGCAACCCAGAATTTTATCTAAACAAACAAATAAATACGAGCTTTAGCGACAAGCTCATCTTTTATAATAGACGATATAAAAAAATGGTTCAATTAGAAGAAAGATTGAAAAATATTTCAAAATCAAATGTAAAGTTTTACAATTGGTCAAGAACTTATGGATGTGAACCGGAATTGTATTTCGAACCAGAATGCGAGGAGGATGTAATTAAGGTGCGTGCTATTTATTTGAAAACGGAACTCTCAAAGCTCGGATAGTCCGATTAAAATTGGATCTGAAATCGAAAAAAAATTTAGATCGTAGAGTTAGCAAAAGTTAATAACAAGAAAATCCGAGCCATCGGTTCGGGACATTCACCATCTGATCTCGCATGCACCGAAGGATACATGATCAACATGGCTAAACTCAATCGTCAATTTGAATGGATTTGTCGAAGGTGAGTAAAAAAAATTTTTTCCTTTACAATAACAAGATAAATATTTTTTAGCAAGGAAAACTATGTAACCAATCAAAAGTTGATCTTCATATTTCCTACACTCTTTCAAATTCATTTCACAGAAAGTTAAAACGCCGTTTCCAAGAATAAGCTTTTTATAATTTTCACTTGTCTCATTATTAAAGATATACACCATGTTCTTGCCTAATACCTATATACTGTATATATATATATACAGTATATAAGTTTCCTTTTTAGTCACTGTTTCCCACCTCGAAAAATTATCCTAATATATTATATATTATATATTTCCATTTCCATAAAATTCGGAGGCATTCATATACCATAGTTCCATTTATTGTTTTTCGCATATAGTTTAAACTCAATGTCGAACTTGTGGGGAGTAGAAATTGTGATAAGTTCTCCAGAATCGTTGAATTTATCAATATACGGTATATAGAGGATCTCCTCAATTCGCTTGATGGTTGTATATGGCGATTTGGATTTCGGGAATAGGAAATTCTGGTGTCGCCATTCGAGTGGAGTTTAATTAAAATCCGCTCCTATATTTATCTGAAAGTTGGACAAGTTATTGGTTTTGAAACAAAATCAAACAATCTCCATTATTAAAGAAAACTTTAACAATGTGAATAGATAATGCACTTTAGGCTTATGTAACAATAATTGGATGTGTTCTAATTTACCTCGATGGCGTTATTAATTTGATCACCAGCAAGCACTCATCTATCTTCCCGACTAGGGGTTTGGCCATTTTTGTTAATGACATAATCTATATGTAATCCAGCGATGTCAATCTGATTCTTCTTTGCGAACTATCAAGTCAATGGATTCAGCTTTTTCTAATAGATTATACAAGGAAAAAACAATAAATTAAATTCAAATTGAAACAGCCAATTGATTGTATTGTCACACTGAGAAAACTTTGAAATCCAGTGCTTCTTCCCATTAGTGCAATCATCGCTCCAAGGAAATTCGACCTAAAGTTATCATATGAGTAATGAAATATAGATTCATACGAAATTGATCGCACGCACATACACCAAAAATTTTGCAGATTCCCTGAAAATTAACCTAAAACTTCTTTTCTGGACCTTTTCAATTCCCATAAGAACACTCAAAGGAATACATATTAGGCAATTATGAATAAGATTTAAGACGAATTTTTCTTGCAGACATTTATATCGAAACTTCGGTGACCTATATTATTTATTACTGAATAAATGCTGATCGGGATACCCGTTGGTATTAAGATAACTTCCATCATTGTGATCATTATATAGCATTTTTTGTCGCGAGATCTAGGCGCTTTTCAACAAATCTAGTGCTATTTGAATCGGCGGAACGACGTTTTTATTCCATGGCAAGGGGTGAGCATGATTCTGAAATGGACCTGCCTCTCCTGTGATTACTATTTTCCTGTAATTAAATTAAATTATAGATAAACGAGAACTTAGAGATTTCTTCCACCATAAATCACGTTCGAAAGTTGAATAACGAACATATACGCGTTCGAAGTCAGATAACGAACCTGCATTATTTTTTCTTAAAAAAGAATGTTAAGAAAGAAATTTTTTTAGGAAAACTGTTGTCGTCGTTCAAAGAACTCAGGGGTCGAATCCAATCTTAATCGTTTATACTTATACATTTCCTTTTTATTCCATCAATCCCTATTCTAACGACGAACACGTTCTTTACGTGTGCATATGTGCTAGATCGATGCACAGCTTATCAGATGAGGCGATCCGATTTTTCTCAATCGGGGAAAGGATGTTCACAATTCATATGATTGGTTCACCTGTTAATAGTCAAGTCGAATGTACATAACATCATATTTATTCATGTTATTTGAGATTGTTTCGGTTCGTTACGTTGCACTCACAAAAGCGCGAATTTGTTCTATTGTGTCCCACAAAGAAAAAGTCAATTTATCACGTTAAATTAAGAGATCAGTAATTCAGTCACGAAATATGTATGGAATGTGTATTGTAACCGAAAGTCAATTCAATTCATTTTCTTTGGCGCGGTAATTTTCGAACGAATTGTCAATTCATTAAATTTTGATTTTACAACTTGGCTTTAAAGCGTTTGGCCTCATTCTCTTCATCCTCGAGTCCAAAGAAATGTCTCTTTAAATAAGAATTCAGAAATATTCCTGATGGATCCAGTTGTTTCTGAATATTTATGAAGGATTCAAATTTTGGATAGGACTTTGAAAGTTCTAATACGGACATTTTGTGGGCCTTGGTTAAATATAAACAAGTTAAAATTACGCGATTATTGAAAAATTAACTTTGAAAGTTGAACATCATGAGGACTACCTTGGCCCAATGAGGTCTACCCTCACAAGATTTCATGATTTCTTCAAAGGCGGTCCAATATTTTTTATAAGGCGTTGGTTGTTTATAGGGCCTAAATAAAAGAAGAATACATTCACAAATGAATTTTTTTTTTTTTAAAAAAAAAAAAAAAACTCGTACGAAAAATAATTCACTCGTACCTGTACATAATAATCCCAATATAACAAATCCTCCTTCCGTAAGCCGGGCTTAGCCAAACATCGTCCTGGTCCACGAACCTCACCTCCACCGGAAAATGTGCATTCA